TTGCAGAAAAGTATTTAGGGACGCTCTCGCAGTTCACCTAAATAATAACCACTCCGAATTTAACACGCTAATGATAAATCCGGAGTAATTATTTAATAACAGCGGCAACCATAATTATTTTATTGTATGTTTACCCAATTTAATAGTGTAAAAATACAACTCAATAATTATGTCCACCCGAAAGTCTTCAATCCTGGTTAAAGGTAGAGAAAACTTACGGTGTAATTAAAAAGTGTTCTATTTTATGATTATTTCAATTTTAGCTCAAAATCCTTTTAACAATTATATTTATGATTGGGCCCTTAATTAAAAATCACAAACATTCCAAATTTATTTATTTTTAAATACAACATCTAAGTAAAAATAAAATCAACAATCCATGTTAAAAATATTTAAAACATTAAGATGGACAATTAATTACACCAACTTCTAACCCCAATGGAATTTAGAAGTTCATAGTTTGGAGCTTAAACAAATAAATATTTATTACAATAATAAATATCTTACAAAAATGGAANTGGGCCCTTAATTAAAAATCACAAACATTCCAAATTTATTTATTTTTAAATACAACATCTAAGTAAAAATAAAATCAACAATCCATGTTAAAAATATTTAAAACATTAAGATGGACAATTAATTACACCAACTTCTAACCCCAATGGAATTTAGAAGTTCATAGTTTGGAGCTTAAACAAATAAATATTTATTACAATAATAAATATCTTACAAAAATGGAAGATGAGTTATTGAGCTCCAAATGTAATAAATGGTGTTGATGATGATGAAGATGGAATGATTTTTATGTGTTTGGATGAAGAAAGTGGTGAGATATTAGTGAAGAAGAAGAAGAAATTCGGAATTGGAGAGAGTAGAGAAGTGGGGGGTTCCAACCTCTTTGAAGAAGAGAAGGGTTGGGTTTTTATAGATGAATTCGTATATACGGAGTATATACAAACAGTTCCACTTTAATGAATACAAGCACAGTAGCGCACATGGAAATGGGGATTCTTGTTGTGCCGCGTGATCCCGTGTTTGATTCCCTCTAGTGTCGGTGTTTTTTCATTTTTTTTCTCTCAATCAATGGCCGACTTTTAGTTCAGAACATTAGCCGTGTTCGCCAGTGATATGCGAATAATCAGCTTCGGCGCGATGGTCAAAGCTCCGGCTCCACATGCAGCACGTACAGAGTTCGAATCCCTGGGGCTGTTTTACGCTTTATTTTTGTTTAATTCCTTCATTCCTTCAAATTTCTTCCATTTATTTTGGTCCCAAACTTCCATGTTTATTTTCCGTTCTTGAAATTGTTCTCAATGCGTTCAAATGGTCTCAAAATACCTGCAAAACATATAAAACCAAGCATAGGACTGCCCTCCCAAAATAAAACGGAAAATTAACATAAAATGTAAACATTAATTCAATTGGGACTTAAAACTCCTTCAAAATATGCCTAAAAAGTGTATAAAATATGTGCATATCAGAAATGGAAGATGGGTTGAGGACACGGAGGGCATCAAGAAAGCTGCGGTGGACTACTTCTCAGCAACACCCATTCAAGATTCTCTAGATATCCTTTAAACACATACCCTTTTCCCTTACTGATGATGATAAAAGGCTCCTTAATGCTCTTCCAGATAGTAAGTAGGTGAAAGAAGCTGTCTGATCCCTGAACCCTAACAGTGCCCCAGGACTAGATGGCTTTAACGGAGACTTTTTCAGGAAAACTTGGCATATAATTTGCCATGAAATTTGTATGGAATCTAAAGAATTTTTTCTTGGCATTCATGTCCCTACAGGTTATGGAGCTACCTGGCTTTCTCTCATCCCCAAAAAAGAAGAAGCCTCTTCATTCGAAGATTTCATGCCTATATCACTGTCCACATTCCTTAGCAAAATAAACACTAAGATTCTTGCTTCTAGGCTCTTGCAGATTCTTCCTAGGATCATATCTGATAGTCAAATTTCTTTTCGAAAGGGTAAGGATATTGCTGATCATACTCTTTTGGTGGAAGAATTGTATCATGAGATCAACAGAAAGGTAGAAGGATGTAACATGCTCATTAAGCTTGACCTATCTAAAGCTTTTGACAAATGGAACTGAGACTAATTGAGAGGCATCCTAGGAGCATTCGGCTTCAATAAAAACAAATCAAAAATCTTCTTCTAGCCAACCTAAAAGCCACAAGATTCTTTGTCCTAATCAATGGGCCACCATCAGGTTGTTTTAAGATGACAGGAGGGGTTAAACAAGGTGATCCCCTTTCCCCTCTCTTATTCATCATAGGGCTGGAAGGTTTGAGAAGGTCCCTAGTTTCTCTTCATGACACATGCTACCTCACTCCCTTCAATGCTGGGAGAGTACCCAATCCCTCTCACCTTGCTTATGTAGATGACCTTGTCATCTTTTCTAATGGTAAAGTAAGGAATCTAATCAGGCTCTCTAACACCATATCAGACTTCCTACAAGCTTTAGGTCAGAGGGTTAACTTCCTGAAGAGTAAGTTCTACACCTCTTCAAATACCTCCTCCCAAGCCATTTATGCTAAGGAAAGAGCATTAAATATTCAACATGACACAGATCGCCTAACCTATCTTGGGGTTCCAATCAGTAAGGGGATCTTAAGAAAGGAAAATTGTGGATATCTTCTTCAAAACTTTGATAGGCTGCTTTCATCTTGGTATAACAAATCCATGAACTCAATGGGGAGGCTCACCCTGATCAAATACACTCTTTCCTCTATTCCCTCTAACCTTATGTCTGTACAAATACTTCTTAAATCTATTTCCTCTAATCTCATGAAAAGGATGGCCAACTTCATTTAGGGTTTCAAGAATGGTAAATCCAAACACCATTGGGTCTCCTGTGAACAAGTGTGTCTACCCAATGACTTTATGGGTAGTTTTCATGAGGAAGAAATACTTGAGGAATGGAAATTTAAATATTAAACCTACAGACTCTCATATTTGGAGGAGAATTTCAAAAATTCACCCCCTAGCCAGAATCAACACTCACTTTTCAGATGGCCATTACAGGTGGAAGGATGGGGATTTCTCCTTCAGTAAGGCGGTTTCAGCTTCCATCAATGGCTATTGTAAGACCTTGTCCAACAAACTGATTTGGCATAAACTACAGGTCCCCAAAATCAGCTTGTTCCTCTGGAAACTATACTCTGATGCTCTCCCCCTCTCACACAACTTGAGAAAGATCTCGTTTCATCTCCCACCCTTCTACCATCTGGGTAAATGTAATGAAGACTCCACAGATCACTGCTTCCTCCATTGCCCAGCTGCCAAAGAAGTTTGGAGTCACTTTATTAATATGCTTGAGGGGCCAATAATCACCAGCAATCGTACCATTCTTCAATACCTCCTGCAGTGGTTCATCAAGGCAAAAGGGAAAAGTTTCACAGCTCACCTATGTAGTGTAATCCCAGGATTTATTGTTTGGAATCTGTGGAAGGAAATCAACGCAGTGATTTATGAAGACACCCCCACCTCTACAGGTAGAAAGATTTACAAAATACATTGGGAGATTCAAGGATGGATTTGGACACACAGAAAAAAGAAATGGATGATCTCGGACGGGGTTGCTAACGCTACTACACCTAACCGTTTCTGGCTGAATGGCAAGCGGCTGAAGATTATATTGGCCTCATTACCAATGTTGATTTCTGATTCCAGAGAATTCTCTTCTTCCTCATACTTATATTGGCTGTGTTTTTTGTTTATTTTTTCTTGACCTCTGAGGCTTTGGTATAGTCCTCCTCAGACATGTAGCGACTTGGCCTCTCTTTAGGTCAAAGGTTGAAAACGGTTGGCTGAAAAAAATTAGACATGTAGCGACATGTTTATTAATATAATTTTTCTTGTTGGTGGAACTTGCCTTCCGAAACATTTTAAGTAATTTAAAATATTAAATTATGTACTCTTTATAATACTAAACTTTATAAAATTCTTTCCTAAATTAGCTACGTATTTTAATAAGATAATTCCAAAAGTATTAATCAGTCACAAGTTAATATACTCATGAATAATTTTTTTATTAAATATATTTTTTTTTATAAAGTTTTTATAAAATACTCCCTCCGTCCCTGAGTGTTTGTCCACTTTCATTTTTGCACACCATCCAATACACTTCTTTAATCCATTTTATCTTGTAATTTGTATATTAAAAAATTATAAAAATTATATATTAATAATCTATATGTTAAGACGAATCAAACAAGATCACACATGACTATTTTTAGGCTTACACATTGAGAGAATTTGATGAGTCAAAGTGCTTAGATGAACAGTTCCAAAAGTCAAAAGTGGACAAACACTCAGGGACGGACCAAGTAAAAATTAATCGTTACCCATATTTTATTTCCTTTTTGGTCGTTCTTGACTACTCGAAATGTACTTAAAAGTTTAAATTAGGAAATTATTTACTTTCTATAATACTAAATTATTAATACCTCAAAAAATTGCAATTAAGTTCTTTCATAAATTTCAATTTTTTTAATTAATAATTCCTAAAATAAAAGTACTTACTATGTAAAGCATTCATTTGCATGTTAATCGTTTATTGCATCATTCTTCAAATAGGAACTACTTTCCTAAATTATTAATTATTTACTAATTTAATTATTAAAACGTGTGTAAGTACAAATTAAAAATATATATGAATCAATAATTAAAAAAATAAAAACATTTTGGAATAGATGACATAAGTTTATCCACATAGATGAATATGCAATATATTTAAAGTTTAAAGAAACTTAATTCTCTTCTAACTTGTAAAAATATGTCTTACATTGCTCATGCTTTTTAGTTCATGAATTGAGACTACTTTCTTCACCGTGTTCTGTCCAAATGTAGTACTCGGGTTTGAACCCATGCTTGTACAAATGAAGTCTCACTTCACTTTCCTTTAGTATCTTCATGCATTTACAATTCATACATGGACATCTAATCCCCCCGTCACATAAAGAAGAAGGAAGTTCTTTTGCCTTCCTTACAAAGTCTTGAACTCCATTAATAAATTCAATTTTAGCCCACCATTAGGTGAAGAAAATCTATCATACATCCAACTGCGACCCATGCTCTGCATTATACTGAAGAAGCAAAAGTTTGTACAAATAAAATAAATTTACATTCCTAATGAGGAATTGTAAATAATTTTTTAAACAAAAATATATAAACCTATATTAAAAAATGAGATCATATTTGTTGATGCCCTGTGTCTATGGTCATTTTTATAAAGAACTTTCATTTAAAAAATTGAAAAGTTTCTGAGTTTTATTTCATTCTTGTATTTTTACACAGAAATGTCAACAGAACAAAACCATTGGGCCAAGCACTAATAGGTATAATGCAGTAAAATACTAGCACTAAATGACAAATATTTTTCCTTCCTAACATGAGTTTTGATTATTTCATTTAGGGCTATGAAACTAAAAGGTATAATGCAATAAAATACTAGCACTAAATTAGATATACACATATACTGCCTTTAGGAGCTAAATGCTTATGTTATATTTTTTTCAAATGTTTACATCATTTAAAGACTAAGATAATACGGTCCACCCTATAATGATACCTCTGCTTGTGATGAGAGATGGTTTTGCCCAAGAGAAGCCTAAAACCCTGTATACAATACAAAAAAAAATTGAAAAAAAGAGAATAAGATGAATAACAGAAATGGAGAACGTTATACTAGTACGTGATATATACAAGGCTTAGAGATGCAAATCATTGTGTGTTTGGTATTCATGATTTTCTCCCATTCTAAGCTGATGAATTTGATTAAATATCTTCACACTGCTTAAATTGTGTCTAACATCTGTGTCAGTTCAATTGTAAAAAAAAATGAATACTCAGTGCTTTTTCCTTTCAGTTCAAACGCAGGTGCCATTGTACTTTGTACCTCGCTGCTACTGATTTTAAATCACCCAGGTGGCAAAGGAAGGATGCTTTGCTCGGAGTTTTTTAAACCCTACGACTCTAGCACTAATTATAGGGTTCTCAAAAAACGAAAACAAAAAAAAAAACAAATTCAGCTGCAATGTGAAACAAAACCAGTCCAAAAAACCAGCCTCATAGGGTTAAAAAAACTGGGTATAAAACTTCTTGTTAAGTTTGGCATTTCATCAAACACTTGGTGGGCATAATTTCTAACATTAAAATATATCGAAATTGGAGATGTAAAAATACTTTTAAATTGAAGATGTGATTTCTAACGTAAAATTCACATAAATTTCGAACTGAATATTTAAATTCACTGAAATTTCGAAATTTCACAGAAATTCACGTAAAAAATTTTCTAACTTAAAATTCACTGAAATTTCGAACTGAATATTGAAATTGGAGATGTAAAAATACTTTTATATGAATGCACTTAAAAAACTGGAGATGTCATTTAACCTAATTCATTGATACAGCACAAGGGAGAGCCACACCTTAAAAGCTAGCTGATAAGGTGGGAGAACCCTTGGTTATATAAACTCATCACCAAGTCCCCTCATATAACCGGTGTGGGACAATGAATCAGTCTGTATCATTCGACCCCCCATAAGGCCCAACGTCCTCGTTGGTCACGGCTACGTTGGTCACGGCCACGTTGGTCACGGCTGGTTTCACCAGGCCACCACTCCGAGTTGGCTCTAATACCATTGATACAGCACAAGGGAGAGCCATACCCTAAAAGCTAGCTGATAAGGTGGGAGAACCCTTGGTTATATAAACCCATCACCAAGTCCCCCATATAACCGGTGTGGGACAATGAAATCAGTCCGTATCATTCATAAACTCAAAAAGAATGGTATGTAAAAACCTGGGCCGCTGGGGTTACCTGCAATCCGTCGCCACCGAAGTAGAGGGTGTAGTGATCGTCCAGGGCTTAGCTGCAATCCGTCGCCAGCAGCATCGAAGTCTCTCTTCAATCTATGGGCAGTAGAGGTGAGCGTGGTACGGTATTTAGCTCGTACCGATACCGTACCAAATATTCCGTTTCGGTATGGGATTTTACGTTGTACCGGTCCCGATCCCAAAGCATCGGTTCGGTATGGTTCAGGATGGTTCGGTATCGGTTTCGGTACGAATCGGGATGAATATATACATACCTAGTTTACATCATAAAATGTAACAAAACTTTTTACTTTTGAAAAATCGAATGTACATTTAACCAAAGAAAGATAAAAAAATTTAAAAATGAAAAAATAAAATGCAAGAAATGCTTATGAAAGTTAGTTTGGAGTATTTCACAAACTAAAGAGAACGAGCGATAACAAAGTACTTTTTCAAATATTTGTTAATATTTTTATACTTATCTACAAAAAATAAAATAACTCTTATTAAAGTGCAACTTAAACATAATGAAAATAAACTAACTTGTCTATATAAATTTTTTGTTTAATGAAGAAATATAAAAAAATTATTATTTTATAATATATTAGTATATATGTTCGGTTCGGGAATTTCGGCATGGGAAGTAACCTCGTACTGTTCCCAAATACCGGACCGAACGTTCGGTTCGGTTCGGTTCGGTTTCTTTTCGGTACTTTATCGGTTCGGTATTTTTCGGTTCGGTATTCTCGTTTTTTTCGGGAAATATCGGGATCGGTTCGGTCCTTGCTCACCCCTAGCCCGCAGCACCGAAGTCTCCTCAATCTATCGTCAGCAGCAGCGAATTGAAGTCGTGTGGCCTTATATAGTTCTTTTTATTAAAACAATCCTAGATTAAGGGGCTATGTGGCAACTTCTGAATAAGTAAGTGCTGAACTCCGAACCATTAAGTGCTGAACCAGTAAGAGGTCTGACCATTAAGAGTTATGTCTGACCAATTCTATTAAGAGGTCTTAACCATTCAGACTCTGTATAATACTTAACCATTCAGAGGCAAATATCTGAGCCATTCAGACATCTGAACCATTAAGAGGCTGAAACAAACAGCTCCTAATTGGGAAAATTACTGGGCCGGCCACACCCTTTTTGTTTTAGGCGGGTAATGGATTACCCCGGAGTATAATAAAAATCAAATGGACGGGCTTTTAAAATTTTAGTTTTGTGTGGGCCGAACCGACAAAAGAAATTATTGAAAAATTTTAAAAAAATTAGTGTCAAGTAAACCCACATAAACTTTGCGTCGGGCAAACCGACACTAATTCATTTTTAGTTTCTCATTAAAACGTGTTGGATAAACTTTCACAAATATATTTTTAAAATTAAAATAGATATTTACAAAAATATTTTCATTTTATTGTCGTTTAGACTCACATAAAAATAAATAAATTATTTGCGTCGGCTTAGCGGACGCAAACTTGCGAGGGCTACGTGACCGTCACTAACATTGGCAACTAATTCAACTTATTCTAGTAGTGATTGCTAGTTCTTTTATCATCTTTTGATCTTGATTGTGTTGAGACGATACTACGACTCTATGTCAAATTATAACCACTTGACATTAATCTGCATGATTAGAATTGTCATAAATTTAAACAACACGTTGATTATATTTTTAAAAACGACAAATCTTCAAGAATACATTTTGACTTACTTTTCTCTAAGAGCTTTAACTTCATCACACTCGTCGTTGAGTAAAACTTTGCTCACAGAATAAAATGTTGTAACAAACACTTGCTCTAAATGATAAAAAAATAATACGAGTATACAATTAGAAATAATTCATAGGGTACGTGTCTTTCAAAATTAATTTGAATTAATTTATAAGAATACCATTGTATAGCTTAGGTTTCACCATTTGCAACCCCAAAATTGGAAGGGTCGAATCCATTGCACTAAAACCATCAATTAAAACATTGACATGATTTCCCTATAACGTACAATTTAACCGAATGCCCCTACACAAAAAAGGTTGAAATTAATATTAATTTTAATATTTATCGAAATTAAATAAATAATAAATATTTTTGTATTAGCTACTTTAAAAATATATTTGCATATACTTTATTTAAAGTATATATTATGGATGCAATTAATAACAATCTGTAATTAGGAATTTATTACTAAAATAATGCCTTAAATATTAATTATTTACTAATTAATATAAATCTAGTCATAATATTTTTTTTTGTTAAAATGAATTCGATTTTTAAAAATCACATACATGTGGTCCTCCAAGGTAACTTCCATTATTTGCTCTGGGGCATGATTTACCATACGGGTTTCGGGCGCGGTTCGACTAACAACCTTCAAAATTATATCTGAAAGTAAGGAAATAAACAATTTTATAAATTTCATAATTATAATTTATTAAAGGTATTTCATATGTGTAAGTATTAAAGTTATGTAAATATAAATGACTCTTACCAATTAAAAAGACTTGGTCAGCAATCTTTGTTTTGAGTATATCTTCAAAACTCTTAAAGTTGAACTGGAAATTAGGAAATCTATTTTCTGGGAGTTTTTGAATCTTGCATTGGCCCTTCCAAAAAAATTGCAGCATGCAAGGGTGATTGGTAGTTTTTGGCTTTGGAAATTGCGTATAACCTTGACTCTCATCACTAAGCAAACAACATTTTCTTGCAAATCTTCTTTGAACGTGCGTATATTAGTATCTTTGATCTGAGCATGGATCCGATTGCCCTAAAACGTTTAGATATAATGAAATTTAATTTTTTTAAAGATTTATTATATGTAAAATATAAAATAGTGTAGAACTAACCCCTGAGTTGTGAAAAATAATATCCAATGATTCCGGTCCTCGAGAATGAGCAGGGTATTACCTTATTTAAAACTTACGTTAATAATGTATGTTAGATTTTAATTTTTAATACGTTAATTACTATAAATATAACTGTTCATTTATTATAGCTTTTAAAACTATTAATACTGTGTGATAAAACTGTTCGTTTATGCCGGGTGATAAAACGTACTGTTCGTTTATTATAGCTTTTAAACCATTATATTAGATTAATTTTTTAGATTAACAATAATGATTATCTTTTAGATTAATAATTAATTACCAATTACAAACGGTGTCATATTATTTGTTTCTTTTTTAAAATGATTACGTGTTAATACTGGTTATTACCGTGTGATAAAAAAGGAAGAGTATTTATTATAGCTTTTAAACCACTTTTTTAGACTAATAATAATAATAATAATTTTTTAGATTAATAATATCACGTTTTTAAAAAGTAATTTTAAAAAATCAGAGATAAAACTGTTTGTATTCAAAAGGAAATTGGGACTTACCTTTTTTTAATTATTTCCAATTATCATTTTTGTGAAATTGGGTGTATAATTGTATAACTTACCTTTTTTAATTATTTCCAATTAGTTTTTTTTGTGAAATTGGGTATATAATTGTATAACTTACCATTTGTAATTATTTCCAAATGGGTGTATAAAAATGATAGTTACGGTATTAAAATACAGTGTGATAAATAAAGAACAAATTCCGAAAGCCACCTAAACAAAAAAAAGAGGTTAAAATAACGTACAAAATTGTACATAATAATTGGGAATACTTCTCATTTCTAATAAAACATTTTTCTTTTCTTTTTTTATCCGTCCCACAAAACACTTCTCATTTCTATTAAAAAGTCACTTTTACCCCTTACTTTTTCATACCCTAACTATCAAATCATACCTTTTTACTAATAATATATCTATCCAATCATACTTTTACTCATCATATCAAAGACATTTTTGGAAATTTAATACCAAAATACACTCC